CTGGATGATCTTGCTTGCAGTTGATTTCCCAATCATGAATGCGTAGTGCAGACTGGCCAAGAACTGTCCAGTAGCTAAATACCTAAGAAATGAAAGATAAAAGCAAGAATTTAATTAGTTCATGTGTACATTTTGTTTCCACAGTCACTATCATCAAGGGTAAATGGAGGAGAGTGAAGGACGCCTTTATGCGCCACAGGCGCAAGGAGAGGGAATATAGGAGTGGATCGGCTGCCAGTGCGCCCTCAAGATACATACAGCTTTCCTTTTTGATTACATGTGTGTGTAGGTAAGTCACGTCAATTACAATGTTTATGACGGTCATGGATATTGTTTTATATAACATGCAGAGAATAATATATTGCACATACTAATGTATTCTTTCCTAATGACAGCACCGACAGTAGCTGGGAGCCTACTGTGAGGCAGGAAGAGGACGAGGAGGAGGACTCGGCCACACAGGCGACTGAGCCCTGCCCCTACCCCGGAACACAGAGTCCACCCCCACAAAACCGTACACCGCCACCGCCACCAACACCGTCTGCCCCACCAGCCCGGGCACCTGTACGCAGATGTACAAATCTCAGGCCCCGTAGGCAGAGGCCTGAAGGAGAGGAGGACAGGCTCATTGATGTACTTGAGGCCATGTCTCATCCTGTCCCCAAGCTTTCAGGCGAGGCCCATTTCCTGCTCAGCGTGGAGGAAAAACTGAAAAAGGTGCCTTTCATTCGACAGTCAGAAATACGTGAAGCACTTACCAGGGTCCTTGACTCCGCAATTTTCCCTGATGGCTCTTCACAACATGCTACTGCCCCTATACCAGCCCCACCAATTCCACATCCACTTCAACATGTCACACCCATGCACACACACACTTCCCAAGCATACCCACACACACCCATGCACCATCAACACCACCCAGAAACATGGCACACACGCCCACATTCCCCATATGTTTATCCCTCCACCAGCCTGGCACATAGCACCACCTCCACCAGCCAAATACCAGCCGGCTTTTCCACACATGGAATGAGGGAGGACATGCAGGTGGACGAGCCTCACTTTGCGCTCCCAAATTATCAAAATTTGTAAGTTTGCCTTTAAAAAGTTCCGTAGTTTGATGTTTGACTCTAAGCACCTTTTTCATTTTGTCCTCCAAATACGGTGTGTAGAACCCGGTTGAGCAGGAACAATGCCTTTCCCCTTTGGCTGCTGTTATGGCCTTGTTTTTATTGCACTTTTCGTGTATGCAAAATTTTCTATTATAATATTTATAATTATAATCAGGCCTAAAATGTGGAATATAACATGGGTGCAAAAATTGAAAAAAGGGCCTCAGTCATGAAGGGGTTAATTACTGTCCTCATGAAAGTACTAGTAATACAATGTCATTATAGAAACATTGAATAGAATATAGTTGAGTTCAAAAGTTACTGTACTATAATGGCATTGTATTTTCATGAGGAAAGTAATTAAAATAGCCTTCTATCATACGTGGAACTACAAGTCCCAGCATCCACTCACTGTCCCTGTACAACTCTCACATATCACGCAGGGAACTACTGCAGGGGGCTTGCATGCTGGAATTTGTAGTTCACTGGGTGATTTATGTGGGGGACGGTGTACAAAGACCATAAGGGCATGCTGGGACATGTAGTTCCCTGGGTGATGTGGAGAGGTGTACAGGGGCAATGAAGGCATGCTGGGACTTGCAGTTCAACTACAACCATTCTTATTCTTATATCCCAGAGTCGCAGGCACTGGTGTTCTGATACTTGGGGGTTGGGGGAAGTCTCCTGGTTCATGAGTGCATCGGATGTGAAAACCAAAGAGAGAAACAAGAGGGCGCAAAACTAGGTCAGCTGACTGCCTGGACCGAACATATCAGGGAAGGTGACAGGAACAATAAATATATATGTATAATGTACTTACTCATGTGGGTCTGGGAACAAGATGTGAACCGGCCTTTGAGGAGGATCAGGATGTCCAGAATGTATGTCGAATGGCGGCTGATATATTGCCTGAGGCTGCCACCATTCAACATACATTCTAGTATTGGTGCATCCCTAATTAGAGTGTAAGCTCCTCTGGTGCTAGAGTGTTTTCGAGTTTGGCTTGAAAAAAAGGTGGCAACCCTAGTCACACTTCACTCACAGGTAGGTGCAATCAACAGCAGAAAACCTAGAATTAACCAGATGATGCCAGACTACAAATCAGCCAGATTACTGATTACAGTGCTAACAACACTAAATTTCAGTAGCCACTCCATTTAGGGTGGAAGGGGCTACACACAGGGGCGTATCTGCCGCGAGGCAAACAAGGCGTTTGCCTCGGGCGGCAGATTCCGGCCAAGCGGCGAATGTACCGGCCCGCGAGCCGGTACTTTGTGGCTGGCAGCCATCTCACAAGTCAGGTACGCGGTCGAGGACCGCATACCTGACTTGCGGGAACAGCTACACAGTCTGCATCTCTGTTGGATGCAGACCCTGTAGCTGAGTCTGCGCCGGCACCGGGATCCTTTCGGCCAGCGCTCTTTCAGTGAACGCTGGCCGAAAGGATTGTGCAGGATCTATTGATGAGGTCTGCAGCAGACCTCATCAATCAATCGCCGACAGACCGGGACAGACGTGCCGCCTCGCAGCCTCCTCCCTGCAACAAGGTGAGCAGGAGAGGGGGCTCTGAATACGTGCCCGGGGGGGCTCTGAATAGGTGCTAGGGGTACACGGACTGGGGTTGTTTTTATATATATCTATAGATATATATATGAAAACAACCCCAGTCCATGTGTGTCCCCTATATATATATATATATATA